TTGTCTGGCTAGGGCAGGTGTTGAAGTTGATCTTGGTGCTCCAGCTGTCCAGGCTTTATGATCATGACTCCATCTTTTTCACATTTTAGCATTGGCGTCTGTGATGAAAGTTTTAGTAGTGTGACAAGGTGTGACGTGACATGTGGCCAAGTATGGTGACCCATACTCGGAATTAGTGCTCTGCATTTATCCCATCCAAAGTGCACACACACAGCAGTGAACACACACACACCGTGAACACACACCCAGAGCAGTGGGCAGCCATTTTTTGCTGCGGTGCCCGGGGAGCAGTTGGGGGTTCGGTGCCTTGCTCAAGGGCACCTCAGTCGTGGTATTGAAGGTGGGAGAGAGTGCTGTACATTCACTCCCCCCACCTATAATCCCTGCCGGTACGAGACTCGAACCCGCAACCTTTGGGTTACGAGTCTGACTCTCTAACCATTAATTAGGCCACGACTTCCCCCAGTAGTTGAGGCTCTTTCATGGATGTTGGCTTTGTGAAGCTCTCAGTGGTGGGTTTTTGTGGAAACAGGCGCTTCAAGGTGAATATTGAAGTTTACTGTCAATTTGCAGCAGTAGTTCTGTTTTGTTTCAACACAATCCCTCTCAGTGTTCAACGATCCCGATCGTTCACTTTTAGTTTTCACCCACTTTTCTTCTTCGCTAATGAACTCTTGCCATGCTTTGTTTACACTGACATAAGACTGTTGTTCTTAAAACACTAAACGGTTGGGCAAAAATCAAAATTCACAGCTAATGTAGAAAGTGGGTATCTAAACAGTTGATGGTAGACATTGACATTCATAGCATTTTTTTTCAAACAATGGAAGTCAGTGACAACCATCAGCTCTGTGGTCACCAACATTCTTCTAGATATCTTTTTTTCTGTATTCCACAGTAGAAAGAAACTCATTCAGATTTAAAATTACTTGAATATGAGTAAATGAAGGCAGAATTAAAATTTTTGGGTGAACTTATCTCTTTATGGTAACATATAGTCGTACTCATTAATAGGCTTCCATGATTTGTCCTTTTGTGAAATCTGACATGCCACCCATTTCACCGAGTGCTTGTACTGACCACTGCTGAACACAGCTTTTACAACACTGAAAGACAAACTAGAGAATATAGACAATGAAAATATAATCACAACGTTTGTTTTTGCACTAAAACCTTGTGTTAACTCCTAGGGCTGGGACAATAAATCGATGCATCGCGAATCGAGAAATGATTCTGCATCGATTCTGAGATTTTTCGAAGGCATCGCGATTCTCTCTTGAATCGATTCTAAGCTTAGTTTTTAACAGCAGATGGCACTGCGTGCTTTAGAAATAGCCGTATTCTGCTTGCTTCCAGTTCCTTACACACACACCATTTGAACCTAAAATAATCATTCATAAAGTTTGAAAAAGTTGAAGTGAATTACAAGGATGTTCACAGTGGGCTGTGTTTACATTAATCTTGCATAATAAAAGCATAAAAGCCGATGTGCAAGTACATTTAAACACTTACGTTACTCAGCCAAATGCACAAGCGCTCTTCTTCGTGAGCATTTGAGTGTGCAGTTAAAAACTAGCCTAGAGCGCCATCTGCAGTTAAAAACTAAGCTCAGAATCGATTCGAGAGAGAATCACGATGCATTCCGAAAATCTCAGAATCGATCCACGAATCGCAATGCATCGATTTATTGTCCCAGCCCTATTAACTCCTGTAATAATGGGCGTTCACATTATTTTGTCCAACCCCTGTATGTTAACGATGCTTTTCAGTATTGAAGAAAATAAATGTATGTTTATAATTAACACATCAGCTCTGTCTGCCATCTTGGTTGCAGTTTTTCCACTGAGCTTGTGCATTCACCACAAAACCTTCATGCAAGGCTGTTTGGAAACAAAACAAGATCTCAGAAGGCAACATATTTCACTTCCTATCTTATAATGTCTGACCCTTCATTTCTTTTCACTGAAATCTATTTCTCTTTCTGATGTGTTTGTGGAGCACAGAAGTGCAGCGGTTTGTAAAAGCTGTGTAAACTCCGTAAAACACATCAGTCCCATTATCAAGAGACAACAGTGGACTGATGCTGCGCCGTCCCCCTCGTACCGTTCCGGGAAATTGAAGCAATAAATTCTTTCCTCCTCAGACTCTCTTTTTCCCTCTTTCTCCATCTCTGTTTCAGTCCCTGTGATCTCTCTGTTATTTGTAGAACAAATACGATTGTTGTATGTGGCTGAGAGCTTGTAGAGCTGTTGGCAGTACAGAAGCCCAGATCCCCTCCAGTCTGGTGCTGGAGTCCATCAGGATCAACTGAGATTTCAGCAGATGTAAGTCACAAGAGCTTAGTGAAGAGATCAGATCAGGTTTTTAAAATGATTTATTTAAACTCGAATACCAATAGAAATAATACTGTTTTATGCTTATGTCTTTTTAATATAATTGTGATTTTGGAGTGAAATATGGCCCAGAAATGTTCTCGACAGGTTACGTGAGATTCACCCTGTGAGAACTATCTCCTATTTTTGCTATTATCCTGGATTGTACTGCTTGTGGGACATAAAATTTAAACCACCCTTGGATGATTGAATGTAGGTCTGAGTCATATTATATTAGCATCTCCTCCTCTCTAAAGGGTTAGTATATTTTAATCTCTGGTTGTATAAAGGAATAATTAGGGAGATATAAGTCAAAATACTTTTTGATGACCCAGACTGCACTGTGGGAAGTGATTTTCTTATTCTGTATTTTTCTTAAAAATATAAATATCTTTAAAATGTTCCGTTTACTTGAGAAACAAAACAGTAATATTAATTTAGTTGGATTTTTTTTAAAACCCGTTCAAAATAGTTTTCTATGAAAACAAAACTTTATATTGTACCCAGTTTGGCTTCTAAATCTTGTTTTGAGGATGTTTAGATTTTTTTTTTTACTGGACGACAAGCCAAAAATATTGATTAATATGACTTTAGTAATGATTCTAGGCATTTCATGATCATTTTTTTAACTGAAGATATTTTTAATCACTTCTGATGCTCTTTTATAAAATATTCAACGTTTTGGATCAGTTTTAATTGGGCTCATAGACATTGAATGAGATTTTTTTTGTGGGGTGTTTTACAAGTCTATTCAGAGCTCAAATATTGCCAATGACAATTAATTTGTAGGTAGATGAAAAGCACATTGGCAGGTTTTCTGCTTTCTAATTTCAGTCATTTATTTTTAACTAATGAGTTTATGATGCTTAGCAGCAGTCTGGTCTTGTTCAGGTACAGTATGACAGTTCTAGACTGCAGAGATAATGAACACAGATGGAATTGATGCCATTCACACAGACTGCGGTGTGCTCTGTGACACGAAAGAGGGGCTGATGTAGGGTATGCAGGTTCGAATCTGGCCTGCGTCATGTCCTCATGTAATTTCCTTGTTTCTCCCTACTTAATGACATAAAACAGATTGAGATACAGTATTCAAATCCAATGTGTTTTTGTGCCAGTGCCGAAACACTTTGCAGCCATCAGTATAGTATATTACATTTTGTTTATTTGCAGAGGCCATACAATGACAAACTCAAAAGTTAACAAGATGATTTATTCATTGACAGTCACCCTGATGAGTAGATTGCACCGAGTCTAATGCATTTACTTATTTTCTTTAACAGTATATAAACATACACAAAAAAGCTATTGAGTAATTTTGTTTTTGACTGTTTTATTAGATGAACACTATAGGCATAAGGATAAAGTGTTATTTTTAATGTGTGATTCTGACTGTGAAATTCATTTCTGGCTTAATGATCATGTGTTCAGTCATGTAGAGAGGAAAATGCAACATCTACGGTCATGTTCTTGAAATATCTCTATTTTGTGAAAGAAAAGAAACTTAAAATGTAGCTGTGTTTTTATAGCAAAGCATATCCACTTATTGAGAGCAGCAGCAGCCTGCTTGGTTTCTTTTAATAACAATATGCTTCATATTGTTATTTTTAGTTCCATACATTATTTTATTACACAAAGTAACTTAAGTTAACAAAGAAGAATTACAATGTTTATTTAAAGCTAGCCTGTTTAGTCACTTGTTCGCCAGGTCTATGTATTCTTAAATATATTAGCTTAAAAATTAAAGGTTTTCAGATAGAAGTTTTAAATCCATTCTACAGCATTCTGCACAATTTCCCCACAATCAGCATAAAAATGTGGAAAAAAGACAGCAGATTTATCAGTGTAGGAAAAAGTGTATTACGTAGTTGTATTTTTTTATTTTTCATTTTTACTTACTGCAGTGGAAATCTGTCAAAAACATGTCTATGTCCAAAATCAAACACCATATTTTAAAAAAATAATGAAAAAATGACACATAGTTCTAGTGATTTTTTTTTTTTGCATTGCATTTGCATTTTTATAAAACAATTATGCATATTTTCAACCCAAAGTTTCATTGTAAATTCTCTGTAAAAACTAACTAAATGAATGCATGAATGAATGAATAAATAAAAAGTTATTACTAATTTTAAAATGTTTACTTAATGCTGATTTTTTTTTTTTTTGGTTTAGGGGTGTGGTTTGACAATAACATGTTTCTGTGATCTGTGGTAATGAGTTATACAGTTACAGGAACTATCTAAGGTTTGAGGATAAATGATCAGCAGTTGCTGAGGCCAGATCAGCTGACAGCACACTTTGGCTTTAAAAGAGGGAATCGTTGAAGGAGATACTGTAAAAGGTCTGCCAAGGGACTTGAGTTATGTGTCATGCTAAGAATAGCTGTTAGTTCTTTACCCAGAAGCAGTGAAGAAGTGATTTTTCATGAAATGTTATTATTGATCAATGGTAGTATTGACCCTCTTGTCGAAACACTTTTAGCTTCACATGTGTTCACATGCTGAAGCAAGACCACCTGCACTTCCCTTGTTCTGTTCTATTCTGTAAATGCAAGACTCACTCATCTAGACATAAACAGGACCCACCAGCTTTAAATGATGCACACTTTTGTTTACTCATTCCCAGCACCCCCTGCTCTAAAGCTGTCTGTGAATGAGACGTACGTGGTGGACCCAGGCCAAGAGGTCACACTGTCGTGTGAGGTAACGGCAGGCTTCCCCACACCTACGGTCAGCTGGTCGCGGTACCCTGGATCCCTCCCTCAGCGGTCCATGATCCGAGGCGGGTCCCTCACTCTCCGGTCCGTCACTCCCGCTGATGCCGGCGTCTACAACTGCACAGCCGTCAACAATGTGGGAAACCCTGCGAGAAGAACCGTCAACTTCATTGTGAGAAGTAAGTGTACACACTTTTACACATGTACTGACATTTGAATTTGAATGTAAGGAAGTAGAATTCAGATGCATTGGAAATTCATCCCACTTTAAAGGGCACCTATTATGCAAAATTCACTTTCACATGTTGCTTGGACATAAATGTGTGTTGGCAGTGTGTGTACACAACCACCCTATAATGAAAAAAATCCACCCGCTCCTTTTTTTTTAATCTCCATATATCAATAGCAGCGTCTCAGAGCAAGCCGATCACAGAATCTGTAAAGTGTGACATCACAATTTACCAGCCCCACCCACGAGTGTCGATTGACACTGCCGTAATCTAGTCGAGACACCGCCCTGAGTGAGCCGCACACAATCCGCCCTATTTATCTTCACGCTAGAGCATTTAAAAGCAGCATTCAAGTAAGAAATGTCTTCTTATTAAGGCTATAGACGTAATTCAGTCCAGAGCAGTAATTGATTCTCTGATTTGATTTTATTCTTTCTTCATATTAATAGCATAGACAGCAGTATAGGTACTGTATATTATGCTGATGTCACTTAATACACAGATCTAATATAATAATGCGATTTCTTTCCCAGATGTTTACCTTCACAAACATAACCGACTGTGTTTTTGTAACTTATGCGTGTTTTTAACATAAACTCGTGTGTGAAAGAGAACTTAGTACTCACATGCCGTGTGCAGCCACTTTCTATATGTGTGCTACGGATGTTTGCACTCAGAAAACCGTCTATCAGAAGTTTAAATTAATATGGCTTTAAAACGCATGATTTCAGCACGATAGACATGATAATCAAATCCAAACAGATTTTTTTTTAGCAGTTACGAGCTGTAAAGGCACTTCTCTATTCTGGAAAAGAGGGCGAGGAGCAGCAGCTCATTTGCATTTAAAGAGACATGCTGCATTTAGCAGAGACATGCACGAAAACAGCATGTTTCTGCTTCCACTCAAAATATGCATTTTCAAAATTATATAACAAATGATCTGTGGGGTATTATGAGCTAAAACTTCACAGACACAATCTGGGGACACCTGAGACTTATATTACATATTGTAAAAAGGGGCATAATAGGTGCACTTTAACTAGAATAGCAAAGTTTGTCAGGACAAGCTGTGAAGGATGGATGGATGGACAGATGAACAGAAGGATAGATAGATAGATGGATAGACATAAAGGTGGGTGGGTGGGTGTATGGACGGACAGACAGACAGAGCGATAGATAGATGGATAGACAGAGATAGATAGAAAGACAGACAGATGGACTGATAGATGGATAGACATACAAATAGACATGAAGGTTTATGGATGGATGAACAGACAGACAGTGAGAGATAGATGGATAGACAGACAGACAGACGGATTAATAGATGGGTAGACATACGAATAGACATGAAGACGGATGGATGAACAGATGGATGGATGGATAGATAGATAGATAGATAGATAGATAGAAGATAGCTAGCTAGATAGATAGATAGATAGATAGATAGATAGATAGATAGATAGATGGGATAGATGGGTTGAATGGGGTGGAAATAGTACATAGAAAGGAAGTCTGAGTGAGTCTAATGGGCTTCAGTGTGTTTAGATTTGAATTTTGACAGTTGGAGTTTGTCGGAATGTTCAGGTGAGCAGAGACTTTTCAATGTAAGTCTATGGGATTTTTATGATTTTTAATATTAATTTTTAAGAAAACCATAAGTCTGATCAGTTAGAAAAGATATAGCACACCCGGCCAGATCAGTCTGAAGAGCTGGGCTGAATTTGGAGTCTGTAGAGTTAAAGCTCTAGGAGGAGATAGAGTTGATAATTTAGGATCAGAAGAATAACAATAATAACTAGATAAAAAAGTTCGTCAAGACAAACTTTAAGTTGGCTTGAGAAAGCCGGACCAGAAAGTTTGAAAAAATAGATAGACATGAAGGTGGATGGATGGATAGACAAGATGGATGGATGGATGGATGGATGGATGGACGGATAGCTAGCTAGATAGATAGATAGATAGATAGATAGCTAGCTAGATAGATAGATAGATAGATAGATAGATAGATAGATAGATGGGTGGATGGAGTTGCTAGCATGATTAGCAAGTAACTAGCATGTCGCTAAGATGATTAACATGTGACTAGCATGTTGTTAGCATGATTAACAATTGACTAGCATGTCGTTAGCATGATTAGCAAGTTACTAGCATGTCGCTAGCATGTTTCTAGCATGATTAGCAAGTGACAAGCATGTTGCTAGCATGATTAAAAAGTGACTAGGATGTTGCTAGCATTATTAGCAAGTGACTACTATGTCGTTAGCATGATTAGCAAGTTACTAGCATGTTGTTTGTACGTTTCTAGCATGTCGCTAGGATAGATAGATAGATAGATAGATAGATAGATAGATAGATAGATAGATAGAAATAGTCAGATAGATAGA